CAAGAAATAAACTGTGATTCTCTCCAGGCATTTGGTTCTTACAAGCCCTAGGGAAGAGGCAGTTGACAACTTACCGTCATAATTGTGGTACGAATATATAGTCGTACATGAGCAAGTGTTGGTGATGCAGTGAATATATTTTTCAAGGTCATTACCTATATGGGCCGACTGATGTGAAGCTGCCAAATGATCCAATAGCATCCAATTGCACATCGTAAGGCATATTCATTCGCCACAGTTCCAGCATTCCGGGTTTCATATTTCAAATACATTCATGTAGCTAAGTGACCAAGTGTTTTAAGGGGTTTGACTGATATCTTCTATATCAATCGCAGGATACATATTTTTTGAAAACTACCTCAAAAACTTTTAATTGAGTAGACATCAGTACCCTTTTCTACTAGTTGGGTCTCAATAGCTTTGTAAACTTCTGCTGATGTTGTTTGTACTTTAACTTGTTCGTTACTTACAATATGTACTTATATATGTAGGCACGTTAAAGCGCCTGTGTGTTTATATTGTCACCCACCAAAAGAGTACACAAATTAGAAGTATCACGAAGTCAACCACTAAGAAATTTAATTTTAATGCCATGGCATTATGGTGCCAATTTAGGAATATTAATACCGTTAATTTGTTTATATTCATATATACATACATACATACATTGAAGCATGTAAATAACAAAGGATTCATTTCCCAGGCCTTTAGTTCTGCATAAACAAGGTAATTGACAAGCCCACCTAACAAATATGCTAATGTACCTCAATGTAATTAAAGGCAATAAATCGAAAATATCAACATTGTCACAAAAGAGCAAAGAATACAAAAAGGCCAAATAACTTTTTGTTTATTTTAACTTTAGGACTTAGTGCTAATTGAATTCACCACTTTTTGTGTAATACTTAATTGACTTAAATGCGCTGTTGTGGCGTGGAGTAACTTCAGTAACAGATGGGAACTTTAAGTTTGAAAAAATAATATTTCAAATATATATACATACGTATTTATTACTAGGGTGCATCACACTCCATGCAATAAATAATTGGTACAGGTTTGCCATTGGAGTTATGAAATCAATTATATTTTAAGACTTCCGCTAAAATATTTCGAAAAAATATTTAGATTTACATGAGTTGAACCGATATGAAAGTAGTTCCAAAAATAGATTTTTTTATAAATAAAACTAGTTTTTAAAAATACTTTTTTCCAATAATCACTTCAGATGATATAAGAGTTTAATCTTAAAACGTCTGCATAAAATTGTGTTCAAAACGATGCAGCTCACGTAAATCTAAATATTTCTGCAAAAAATTTTGGCGGAGCTTCTCAAATATAATAAGATTTATAATTGCGATGGAACCCGTAATTTGTTTTGGTGAGGCACCATAATGTACACATGTAGATATATGTTCATATATTTTTTACTACATATTTTAATGAATAAGACATTCTTTTAGAGGCTTCTTAAAAAATTTTTATGATCCCACGTTATTTCTTAGCTTGTTTTGGCATTTTTATACTACCGAGGAAATTCATATCGCACAATATATGTATGTATGTACACATGTATGTACTATATGTATGCAAATGAAATGCAAACCAAGCTCTTGCATGCTCTCCAACCATGCTGCCACTTTAACGAGTAGAGAAGTTAGCCTCTAAACGGACTTACTTACTTTTTTTATCCTTCACACTTATTTATGTATGTATGTCAGGTGTGTGGGTTTTTTGTACCCTACTCTCTATTTTGACAAGGTATTATTGCCTGTCGGATTGTTTGCACATTCACTTTTTTTGTTGATGTGGCTAGGCCTTTGTTTGCTCTCCGCTGCTCGCATAACATTTACAGTATTCCTCCTTTGTTTTACTGCTAATGACACTTGTCCTCTGTTAATCCTACCTCATACCATTCACGATGACAATATTCATAGATTTACTCGTGTATACACCCGGTGTCATAATTATAAGCGCACCGCATATTGACAAAACTTAACAATTGATTTTGTTATTTTATTTAAATATACATAGTTTATTAAAAAAAAAAAAAAAAAACGTGTAAATCCAGTTTCGAATTTTTTTTCGAATATTCAAGAAACTTCAACACACTTTCAGGAAAATATCAAAAAAATATAAACACCTTCAACAAAAAATGTTACCATAAATCAACGGTAAGTCCTAGCTACTTCAAACATCCGCTTAATTGTACTAAAATTTAATGGGCTACAAAATTACACGCTCAAAAATTAATCAAAAAGCACGAAATTTTTACGAATTGTGTCTAATATTTTACATATTTATAAAAACACAGCTAAAATTAAATAACAAAAAAATAAATTGCTAAAACTTTTCAAAATGACCCGCGCTTACAATTGTGACACGCGGTGTGTATATACTTCATACATATACCTACACACGTAAGTGTATTCCCCAGAGTCATCTGTCAAAAAGTTGCCTACTTTTACGATTTCGATTCACATTCGCTCGAACTGTTCACACTGGCATCCGGTTTCGTATTAATGATTGAGCCAACATCTAGATTTCACTCCCATCTTTATCTGAATGCAATTCAAACCGAAATTGCGTTAGTCCTGTTGTGCTCGTTGTAGTCTGCTTAGGCATACATACATACATACATAAGTACATATTTGCGTATTGTTATCTTTTATTATGCGTTTGTCCCACTCGTTTGTTTTACTAGTAAGTTCACTTTCACATGCATGTATGTAGGCAGATGTACATTAGACCGCACCACCTTACAAGCAAACAATAAAAAAACCATTCGGCCAACACGGCCCAGTCTTAAGTATTTTGCAAGGCGATTTCGAAAAAAATGTTATTTTTTGGCCGAAGTAGGGGTTGCGTTTTTACATTTTTCGTTGACACCTACAATATAATTATTATTTTTTAATAAATCTATTGGAATCGTCGAAATATGTATGTACATACTTTCTAAGCAAAAATTTAATGATTATTGGTGAGCTTTACTTTACTGACGTTAGGGTGGTATGTTAGGGTAATAATAAATCTGGTGTAGTTGTACTAGAACGGCGTAAATGAGATCAACGAATAAAAACTTTTTGTTTTTCGAATTGCCTTGCAAAAATACGTTAGAATTTTTTTCTGGTGCGGTCTAATGTACATATGTATTTAGTATATGCGTCTATTACCTATTTGTGCCAGTCCCTTGTCAGTAAAGGACACTCGCTGATTTTAGCCAACCGTTAATGCGTTAGAGTATTATTGAAAACGTGCAGTTGTCAAAGAGGGTTTGCAATTATTGAGTGAAACTCGATATGATTTGCGGGTTTGGCAAGTCATAAATGTAAATTTCGTTCGAGATGAGTTGAGGCTGAACTTGTCCTGCATATCTACGATAAGCGTCGGTCGGCGTTGCAATAAACATCTTTTTTATGATTATTGCCTAGTTGTGAACAAAGCTGTAAAATTTCGGTGCTAAAATTTAAGCTGACGAACATATAAATAAATTCTAGGTAACCCATGTTTTAGCTGTCTGCAATCACAAAAAAGGCTGGACGAATTTAGTTAACATATACATATGTATATATGTACACAAGTTATATGAAATAACAAAATGAGGATGGCTAACAGAAGAGTGCTAAGAAAGCTTTAGTTTGAACACTAAGATAATTTTTGAGGTGTTAGAAGAGGGTTGCCACCTGTTTAAAAGGTTGAGTTCAAATTAAGTAAGTAAAGTAAGTTAAATTAATTACTAAAATATACATTTCAATCGAAGGAATTTTTGAAAAATTTTTATTTCTGAACTATATTTAGCGGGATAGCCACATGTTTAAAAAATCAAAGTCAACTTAATTCATCAGTTTTAAAAACGTGTATGGCAATGTCAGACGAACGACAGTTTACAAGGTTAAATTACTTTTGAAGAGGGCTGCCACCTGTTTGTAAGGTCTAACTTAATTAACTTTGAAACACAATGATTATGTGAAATATAAAAATACGGGAGACAAACGTATGAATGTTAAGAAATATTTATTTTGAACATTTGGAGTGTTTGAAGAGGGTTGCCAAGTGTTTAAAAAGTTACATTCAAATTATTCAACAAGTTAGATGAATTATCAACAGACCAATTACAATCTATATTTCCAAAAATTTAAGATCTTAGCCTGTAGATGTGCGATAAAGTTTTTTTTGTTTTAATTAAGAACTTTTTTATCGGAATACGGTGATTTGAAATTTGATGAAATTAAAAACCTGCACTGTGCATACCTCCCTTCGCTCTAAATATATTTTTTTTTAATTTTTTAAATTTAATTTTGGGCGTTCCTCGCGCATGCGTGGATTTAACCCACGTGCTTGCATCACTGTCTCACCACCAGTGCGCTGTTCTTCCGTCTTTTGCGATATCAACGTTTCATTTGTTGTTGTCGGAAGTGACGGCAGTGGGGGCGTTGTATTTATACATACGTATATTTCGGTCTGATTGGCGGTGTTGGTGCAAACGGCCGATGGTTTTGAAGAATTTTTCGATTCATGCGCCTCTAAATCCAACGTTTTTGGGTCTTCCTTTGGTGCCTCCAGGGTGGCTGCGATGAGATCAGCTTTCGCGGGCGATTCAACGACTTGGGCAGTTGCAAAGAAGCACTACTTAGTTGTGACTCGATATCACATGTTGTTTGAGCTGTTGCTTCGAGTTCTGCCTCTGTAGCTATGTTCAATACTTCATCCTCTTTAATATTTACCAAAACTCCATCTGCCGATTTGTTAACCTCATTCAACGCTAACGACGATGTAATCTGACAATCCATCACAGCTACATATATCTGCCATTCGATTAAGATTTATTGCTACTGCCTTCACCTCAGCCGCTGGCGCCATATTTCCTACCGTTTTATCTGATAAAATTTTTTTAATTTTGCGAACGATTGCTCAGTTTGATTTGTCGTTGTTACTTCATTCGTATGCTCTACCTTGCTCTTGTTCATATATCGTACAGTCGCCGTCAGTATTTCAGCCAGTGGTCATGCATCAACCGCTTCCTCGACACCATTGTTCACCACCGCTGATGCTGGCTGTTCCATGCTTTTAATCTTCAAGGCAGCTTTTCTGAATGGTTTAACGGCACCGCAAAGCGGATTTGCTTCAGAGGTTACTGCGCTTAAAAACTGCAGCGCCTTTGCTACGGTACCTGCCTGTGGCATTCCGTCGTTTGGTGACAAGTTTGGCAGCGGTGGTGGTGGTAACTTGTGATGAAATGGCAGTAGTGGTGGGGAAAGTGGATAAGGCTTTGGGGACAGTACTTTCAATATGTTTATGGCCGGTGGTCGAAAATTTGGTGTTGCAGCAGCAAGTGTCTGCATTGTCTTAGCAACCAGTCCCACTTTCGCTGGTACCTCTTTCAGAGCTGAGAAAGTCACTTCTTCCCTCTTGCCCGCAAGCGGAAATGGATTAGTTGGCAAAATATGTCCGGCTTCGTTTGGCGATTGCACTATGCGGTTAGCTGCAGAAACTGCTAGAGCCTGCGATGTTTTTCCGGTAGTGGTTTCTGGTGTGCTGTAGTCGGGCGTTAGTGTTGCCGAGCTCGCATTTTGTTGTATTCTATTTTGTCCAACAACGCACTTCAGTTCTTTTATCGAAGCACAAGGTGTTTCAAGTGGTAGAGACTGCGCTACACTTGGAACTTTTCCTCTTTTCTTTTTAATTTTTATCACTGCCCGCTTTACTGTATCCACGTTTGGCTGACTTTTATTGGAAGCGGTTACACCAACTACCAATGGCCTAGTATTGAGGATTTTTGTTGTTTTAGTTTTATTGTCTCCTGTTATCTTTGCAGGGTAGACGTTTACTTTATTTTTTGAGCTGAGTGCTTGGCTTGCTGGCTTCAACTGTTTTTTAACGGCTTTAGTAGTGATTTGGGAAGCCGCTTTTCCTTCAGCTGTCGTTGTGTTTGGTGGCGTGGAATTCGCTTCCAATTTTTGAACAAGACCTGCAGGTTTCACCTCGACAGTTTTAGGCTCTTTTAAGACAGTGTCCAAAATTTTGGAGTGCATATCTACTGATGGTGCTTTTTCCTTGGATCGCCAATGGCCACCTCCCTCAACTCTTCGCTTTTTTTCTGTTGGCTTGGTATTTATTCTCACTGTGCCAGTAGAGTTAAGCGAACCTCCTTTTACACTTTTGCAGCCATTCACAGTGGCACCCGAACTTTTAACCACTTTAACATCACCGCCTTTTCCTAGTTTTTGAATTTTCCTGTCCTGACTTTTTGTAACAGGTCTACCCGTTGCTGCTCTAATCAATTTTGGCGCGGTGTTTGTTTCTTTCGAAGGTTTCTGCACCTTTCCAGCCTTATTGTTTCCCAATGATGCAATCGAGATATGAGAACTAGGCGATTTCGTACCGCTGGCAATGAGTCTCGTTTTCTTTACAAGTTTAAACTTTTTGTTATCGGTAACGGCGCTGTTTCTGTCGGCTATGGGCTTTACATCGGTTGACTTTTTGGCAGCAGTCTTTGTCACGGAATCAGTTAAGACCTTTGAATTGTCTGTTCGTGCAAAGCCACTTGCTTTTTTTACAACAGTCTTCCGTATAGATTCTGCGTTTACTTTATTAGATACGATCAATTTTGTTGCTCGGACCGCTTTGCAGCATGCGCGTGAATTTTGTAGCGAAACCTCAGATGGTGGTGGCGGGAACTCAAAGTCGTTTTGTACATCTTGCGATGAATTATTCGGGGTCGGTGGTGGCGCGACGAGCGATGGTGCAGCAGACGCATATGAACCGCGCGTATACTGCAAAGCCACTTGCTGTCCGTTGATTGGAGAGCCTGGCGGCAGTATCGGTATTTTAGTGGCCTTATTTTTGTCGTTGGCATTCGGCTTGGGTTCGCTGCTGGTTTTCATTTTCTCGTCTCTTGTAGTTGGCGGTTTAGCTGGTATCGGCAACGAATTCTTTCCGGCTTCTTTGATTGTTTCCGAGGTCTTGTTAACTGCTGTTAAGGGACAAGCACTGACAGGCGGTTCTGGTGGAACGATAGGCTCCACGCCGCCGTTCAAACGGCTCAAGTTATTATTTTTACTTTCTAGTGTGTCCTTGTTCTTCTGGTTTTCTAATGTGGCCGTTATAGGTTTCTCTTTAGTACCTCCTCTCGGATCCTCAATGGGTTCATTATCTGAGTTCTTTCCATTGACATCTAACGCTGTCATAACAATCGTTCTATTTCGTTTCCGCCTTGGTGGCACTGGTGGTTTTTCTTTCTGTTCGCCGCCAAAGCTTCTTTCTGCGATAGTACTCGTCTCAGTTTGCGCTGCAGGAATGATCACAGGTTCTGGGACTAAGCGGTCTTCTGGCGGATGCGGATTATTAAGCGTAGCAGGCGATTGTTTTGGTGCGCTCTGTGTGTCATCTTTTTCTGAGCTTAGGGCTGTCAGTTCTAACGCTGGAATTTCTTTTAATAAATCAATAACTGCTGTTTGCGGGAATATTTCAACTTCCAAATCTTTTGCACTATTTTCCACCATTCGATTTCGTTGTAAAACGTCGTCAGCGGAAAATTGATCAGAGAAATCGGTTTGTTGTGCCGTGTTCGTTTGCACGCCAATGCTACAACGTGCCTGCGTTTCAGTGAATTGCGGCACAAGTGAATCACGCACGCCCGTCGTGTAAAGTCTTACGTCTCCTGCGAATCGAAACTTAGCAAAATATTCGACGACTCGACGTTGCTTCTCAATTCCATTGGTATTGATTTTATGCACAGGCAGTGAACGCATGCACCTGAACCAATCATTCAGCTTTTCCCACCTCTTGCGATCTGCCTCGATGGGAAACATCATATCCAACGCACCGAGGCAAGCGGCAAATGAAATATCAGCTGCAGTCAACTGGAAAAGGGGTAGAGCAATGTTAGTGGAATAGGAATGAATGTGCCAGTATGTTTTTACATTTAAATTCGCTTAAACTACTTAGGAACTTAGAGGTTAGGATACTATCTTCCTCGCAATTAGTGGTCTTAGCTGGATAAAGGTATCAAGCATTCCCAGGTGTAGTAGATAAAGATCTGTACAGCACACAACGATCGTTCTGTGAAATTTTCTGAGCAGATTTTCACACGCTAATGAATGAGAGTCGACTGCACCACAGATACAAAGCTGATTATGGTCTTATCAAAGAAGTTTTAATTTAGAGGATTCCTCGAAGTGATAGACTCCGTGCCTGAAAGATGTTAAGGCTTTGAAGGTATTTTGTTTGCTGTGAGCCTTCTATACAAATTTATTGTATCTAGGATTATATCAAAAACTTAACTTGGACAAATCTAATAGTTACCCTTTTTAGGGGAAGCGTCTTCTTCTATTGAGGATCACAACACTGAATACAAGATATCATAAAGGCAGCTATATTTTCACCCAGCTATGGCAAGAAATATAATGGGATTAATAGTTTTCAGACCCTCCCGCTGCAAGAGGTGACATTCTACTCTTAAATACCTTTTAAAGGTCATAGAAAAACTTGAGTATAGAAGCATTGAAGCATTCATCCATAGAAATAACAGCCGCAGCATCTAGTATGGGCCCTTGTGGCTAAGTGTTTAGAGATGCGAACCACCACCCCGTTTGACTTGTATTCGGGACCTGGCCCGAGCAACATCTAAATTAGAAAAAGTCAGGCAATGACAAACCTCTGAGTGCATTCCTGCCATGAACGAGTTTTTCATAAAATCCATTTGTCGTTCGAAGGTGGCGTAAAGCTGTAAAAGCATAAACAGACCACAGCGTTGATCCGGATCAACTCGGGAATTAACTGCAGTTGATCCGGATTAAGTCAGAGTTAATCTATTTAAGCTTTAAGTCTCTCCCCTTTGGATTTATATTTGACTTCTAAAAATTACTCTTAATTTTAGATTTATAGTTTCCTTGTTTCCTATAACCTATCCGTGATTATCATCTTGAGTCTTCAACAGTACAGTAAACTCACCACAGAGCCTGCCATATATTCACCATCTTTCAAATAGGACTCCATCACATCATACGCGTTCTCCACTTTCTTCTGATGATAATCAACATCTGTTTCATAAATAGTTTTACGCACTAAATCAGTCTGCAATATATACAACCAATAAATACCTCTTTGACACGTCGCAACATCATCACCTTACCATCAATTGTCCATGGATGCGATGCAGCACTTGACTCTCAAAGAATAGCCGGGACAAGATACGGCAATGCCGTTTGTAGCAATTAAACGCAATTAGCTGTTTTGCCTTGTCATTGCCGTGATTTTCACACACATAAGCGAATATTGCATTGTCGGTGACGATGAGCTCCTTGTGCACCATGGTGGGGACGGTGCCGGCTGGATTGATTTTCGCGTATGCCGGCTTCAAGTGTTCGCCTTTGATCATTTCGACTGCTCTCAACTCTACATCGACGTTTAACATATTCAAGATCATTAACACAGCACGCGAATGTGGATTGATGTCGTCGTAATACAAAATGGGGCGCACATGATTAATTTCGTTGTTGGCAAACATTACTGAAGGGACGGACGATCGCGAATTTGTGCACCGCCGACTTGCGTGAACTTATGTCTATGCGCGAGTACAAGCGGAAGTTTTTGAATGATTTAAGCTTTGAGTGTTTGAGAGCACAACAAAGAAAAAAAATAACAATTAAATTTTGTATAAAATTTATAGGAATTTTATTGAATGCATTTCCGAAATGTTTAAATTTCAAAATCAAAATTAAATTTTACACATGACTTTCACTTTGATTTGTAAAAAGGAACTGCGACTGATCGTTGAATTGAAAGCTTCCTTTCACACATTGCCAATGAATTGAAAAGCTATGAAATTTAAGGGCGTTATCAACGTTAGGAATATCTAAATTACGTAAGCTGTTTAATTTTCTTTAACTTGTGTTCAGCTACTTTCTAAAAAAAAAATGGTCTAAAATTTTTTTGCAATAAATTTGCTATTTCACTTCCCAGCACTCTTGTAGTATGTAATGACTGTAGTATTTTTCTGAAGGAAAGTTTGGTACAATTGATCAAAGCAATGTTATGAAAGACTGGTGAATTGCTCTGAGAGTGGTCCGAATGTAATGCATAAAGTATGAGTTTTGATCTAATATTGGTTACAATGTCATGCAAAAGCGGACAATTGGTCCAAGCCTAGGACATTCAATGTTAAATGTAAATAGAATTTCTGTTGAAAATCGAAAATTTTTTATTTAGATCAGCGATGGGCAGAGAGAGCTTTTACTCTGCACGCGCCTATACAAAATGTATAGAAAGCTTAAAAGAGCTTTGCCCGCAGGCAAGGCAGTGCCCATCATGAATGTAGATGCCTCAAAAAATTATTGCCAAAAACTGCGAAAATTATCGATTACACAAAATGGAGTATCGAGTTTGAGTGCTGCTCATTATGAATCGTTGAGAGGCATAGTTATCATAGGCAGATAAATTATCTCAAATATTTTTATTTTTTTCCGAAATATATTTTATTTAAAACTATGAATAAACCTTTTTGGAATCCCCATTCCACCGAAAAATAGTAAATTTTTTCCAATATATTAAAATGGTCACTATCGACTTTTGTGACTCTTTTCTGAAAAAAGCACGCTCAAATGCACCCGCAAAATGTAATTAAAGAAACGCGGTAAATAAGAATGGTATAATTTGCTCAAAACCACTGTTCTTTTAGGAACAAAAGCTCTATTTACAAAAAAGAGCTTTAAGCACAGCAAAGCTTGTCCAATATAAGGGGCGCTTGTACTGTAAAGGTTAAAGGGAGTTTTAAAACTACATATCCCTTTCTAATTATTAACTTTCATTCAGGAAAAGAATAAGAAATCGACTTTCTGAAAATCGTTCTCTTTAATCCGAATTTATGCTCTATTACTTACCAAAACGATTTAAATCAAGCTTTCATACATTTCACTTAAATAATTTAAGCAGCTCCTTCATATGTAATTTATGAAAACCGTAAAGAAAATATATTTCAGAATTTCGGTAAATCTCAGTGAACTTAAACTAATCCACATTTGGAGTATTTTCTGGCCTATTGTCCTCATCATTTTCTTGGCTCACAACATTCGCTTCTTCTGTCTTAGGTTCCTCCTTGGGCTCCTCCTGCTCCTCTTCGGGTGGTGTCGCAATTTCGCTTGTTGGAAATTTAAATTTGCCAATTCGCTCGATGACAACGCGTAGCTTTTCCAGACCAGTCTCATTGATATGATATACCGGCAATGCTCGCATGCGCGCGAACCAATCATTCAATAGAGGCCATTTGTCTGTGGCGCCAGCGGCAATCGGAAACATTAGATTCACCGTACTCAATGTGGTTACGATGGATATGTCAGCAATAGTCAACTGTGGGGAGAAAATATACATACATGTATGTACATACAAGTGGTAGTACATACATTGATAGAGAGTTATATGTAGATATTGCATAAATTTCCGTAATTGATACGAAATCAAATGAAATTGCGGTTAGTTGGAGAGATCTTCGCAATAAATGTATAAGATGCCAACATAAAGAATTTAAGAGACAGTAGATGTTATAAACATCGTCGTTTAAAGTACAAAATCGCGTATCAAGAAAATACAAAACCTCGTTTGTGAGGTCGAGAAGAGAGTAAAATTTTTCTCATCTCCAAACGGTTCTTTCTTTTATCCCTAATTATCTATTTTTCCCGTGTCTGAGAATCGATATTTAAGTATGAATGGATAAGCGCTTGATGCCAGGAACTTCCGGTGAGCAAATATTTTTTTGGCACAAATGTCAGTTACCAGGTTTTGCACCAGCACGCTACGCGGTTTTGTACTTTAAACGACGATATTTAAATATTCCGACGAACTTGAACTTACATGATCAGCGGCCATATATTTGTGCCTTCGCAGATATGTCTCCATCATAGTATAGGCCTCCAGCAGTTTACGTTCGTGCAACGGTAAATCAACACTTTTGAAGCCACCACGAACTATGCCGGACTGAAAATTACATTACAAAAACAACCCGTTACTTATAAAATTTATTATGACACGTACATATCGAACCCTAACCGCCAAAATAACGTAGGCGAATTTTTTTTTCCAAAATTTTCTTTTTGATGCAGAAATATTCCTAGAGCATCTAGATGCATTTCTGCAACAAAAAGAAAATTTAAAGAAAAATGTCGCTCGCGTTATTTTGGCGGTTAGGGCTCGATATGTATACCTATGTATGTATGTACATAAGTATGAAAATATATCTATATATTTTATTTCATAAGTAGATGCAGTTGCAAGTGGGGAAATATTTCTACTACCATGCACCAGGAAGTGGCCAGAAGTGATTATTTTGCGGAAGGTTCAAGCGCAGCTCCCGACTTTCCTAATATTCACTTATCCTCTGGGTAGCGACCAAACTCCAAAAAAAAAAACAATGCAACAATCCTCGGATGAGACCCCCTCTTTTGATGAAGACCACGGCAAATGCTTAAAAGACTGCGATTTAAGGGCATGTACCTAAAATGTACGGACCCTTAATGGAGAGGATGCCTCTGCCCGGCTGGTTGATGTTCTCGCGAATACAAGGGCTGACATCACCGCCATTACAAAAAATGTGATGGACGCGGCAAGGCAGGGAACGCGTAGGGCCTTGCGACGTCTACCTGTCACGTTAAGAAGCGCGAATTCGGATTTGTGGTGGCGGTGGGACAGAGGCTCAGTCGCCGAGTATTAGCGTTCACCCCGGTGGACGAACGTCTAGCCACAATCTGCATCAAAACGAGATTATTCAACATCACATCTCATGTCCCAATGGAGGAGAAAGACGAGGCGTCCAAGGATCTCTTATATGAGCGCTTGGAGCGCACATACGAGCGCTGCCCCCATCACGATATCAAAATCGTGCTTCGTGACTTCAGGGCTAGGGTGGGCAAGGAAGGGATCTTTGGAACAACCGTCGGAAATTTGAGCCTCCACGACGAAACCTTATGCCCATTAAATATGCCTTCAATTCGACAAGAAAAAACAAAAATTTTAATGCTAATTTCTTCCAACTTGTGCAATTTTTAACTTTTCACAATGAGGACCGCTTTTAAAAAGTATTACAAAGTAAACCTTGTTGAATCGTTTAACAAAAAATTTACCAAATAATTCTTGCATACTCACCAAAAACTCGCTGTCTCTTCGAAAAAGCACTGAGCACTCAAAAAACAGCAAGTTCCATACACGAATGCGCTGCTCGTAATTTCGCGGCCATAATGCCTCATCTTCGCTGGCGTTCTCGAATTTCTCACAAAGATGCATAAGAATCAAATGACTATCGGTAATAATCAGGTTATCGTGAACCAGAGTAGGCACTGTGTGATTTGGATTTAGCTGGGGGGGAGGGCGTGAAATAACAGTTAAAAAATCTAAAAATTACTTTCATATCTCCAGCAATGTAGTCACCTCCAAGAAAGCCTTGTCAAGCTGACCGCCCTTGAACAAATCCACGAATTTGTATTCCACATCCAAGTCCAGCAGTTTGATAAGCAGCAGACAACTGCGTACCGGTGGACTAACATCGTCGTAATACAATACTAATTTCGACATTTTTTGCTGATGCAAGTGAGATTCTTGTATTAAGCCAATAGCTGCATATACTTCTGCATACTTATATGTACTTATGTATGTATTTGCGTAGGTGTCTGCACTTAATAATCAACAGTCAATGTTTAATGTTTTCCCGATTTAAGCGCGACAAAGACTAACTTCAACGCCTCTTTGAGACGCTCTTTTAAGCCTCGCTTGGGTGTGTGATAAATGTAAAAATGTGTATATATATTTCTTCACTATATGCACTTGTATGTATGTATGTATGCATATACATATTGACGTTACGGTTTGGTGTGCATAACTTTGCAAGCGTAATTGGAGACACCGTAGCCGGGAACTTGCGGCTGATTCGTAATGAATGATAAGCTTTTCTATGCTGCATTATTTCAAACGTACATACATACATATGTAGGTATCTCTTTCCAATGGACTTTAACCAAAACCACATTTTTGCTCTTACAGCTTTCTTACTATGAATTAACAAAGTGATTAATTTAAAAGAAAGTAAGAACAATCGCCGAGGTACAACGTCTCAGCGAAAGCCCGACG